ACCCTTCCCAGCCCCATCCCCACACCCATCCCCATCCCTATGGGACGGGTGAGGACTCCCAGGCTCAGAATGGGGGCCAGTCTGGAAAAGAAGGAACGTTGCTCATGTACGTGAATCAAGAAGTCCAGGGTGTATTTGCTTAGAGTCTATAAACATGAAATAACACATGTATGTATTGCAAAGACTTGCATGTTTTAAGAACAGAAATAGGACGAAATTAGGAGACTTAACAAAAAGCGTCTCAGGGTGCGAACCACATGAAGATGAGGACAGAGAAGGGGGCGAGAAGGGAGCTCTGGGGTGTTTCTGAGCTGCTCCCGTGGGTGCGGGGTGAGCCACGCAGGAGGCTGGAGTGTGACAGGGAGCAGAGGGTGTGGCTGAGGCTGCTGAGGCCCCTCCTGCTAATGAGGCTGTGAGAGTCATAACACAGGCTCCAGGCAAATAAAGTGCTGGGGGGGCCCCACCAGCCTGGCCTTGCTAACTGCCCCCAGGGGGGAGTGGGACGGGAGGGCAGGGACTTGGGCTGCTAAGGGGATGGCCGCTGACCGATGGGCTTGGAGCCCTGGGATGCTGTCTGTCCAGATGAGCAGGTCGCCGCTCCTGTCCAGCGGAGATGGGGTCCAGCCAGGTCCTGGGGCCTGGGTGCTGGACGCTGGCCTTGGCTTCCCCTTGGGGCCATGGCCGGCTTGGAGGGGAGCTCAGAAGGGCGTTCGGGGGAGGTCGGAGTAGAGTGACTGGGAGGGTGAGACTGGAGGCCGGAGGCTGCTGTGGGAGATGCCAGGGCTGTGGGTGAGCCTGGCCGAGAACCAAAGAGCGGCCCCTGATGCCACAGCCCGTGTCTCCTACTGTCGTTACATAACGTGTGTCTTCGGTGACTCATGTTTTATTCTCAGATAAACGTAGCGCTGTCAGGGCCATTACCTGGGAAGCAAAGGCGTGGGTGAGCCCATTGCTTTTTACGCGCTAAGGAAAGCGTAGCTGTTGTGAGGTTAAAGCTCATCATCGCGATGACGCCAGTGGTCCCGCCGCTCCAGCGCCGGAGGCTGCCCTTCAGGCTGGGCTGAGCCAGGGGCGTCTCCCCAGCTTGGGTCCCTGCCATGGGGACTCGCAGACGGGGGAGGGGGGCACGGTGAAGAGAGGAGTTGGGGGAGATGGGAGCGCTCCTTCCGGAGCAGGATCAACTCTGGGTTTTTTAGTGGGTTTTGTGGGCATTTGAGTCGTTCATTCGTGCCTCTGCCTGGAGTACGGCTGTCAGTCCCTTCGCTGGGATTCGATGTGTGAGCTCAGCACGTGGCCTCTGCCGCGCCCCACTTCTGTAGGAGCAGGTTCCAGCTCTGGACTAGCACTCACCCTGCACTCACCTCTGGCCACCCCACCCCCACCCCACCCTCACCCCGCCCCACCCTGGGCTGTCAGGGTGCTGCTGTCTGTCTGCAGGGGCGGGGCCTGCACGACCCCTGGGCCCAGGGCTCTGGTCTGTCGCCCTGAGAGCGGGCCTGACACGCCCTCACCCTTGGCTGAGCGCCTGCCCTCACCGGACGTGACGTGACAGATTGGTGGTGCCATCCGTTTCCCAGTGTTGTCGGGCCCAGGGGCTCGGCAGTGCCCTCAAACGCCCGTCCACGCGGATCCCGAGACTGCGCTGATCTGGAAACAGGGTGGGCGCAGGTGCGGTCAGTTAGACCTGGAGCTGCAACCAGCCAGGTGTCCCCAATGATTGGCCCCGATGCGAGGAGAGGACGCTGGGCGGCGACGACCAGGGTGTAAGGTCTGCGCTGTCTGCACAGCGGGGCCCGGGGGGCTGTGAAGGAGGTGGACCTGACAGGTATGTTCCTGGTTGGAGGAGGGGAGACGCAGCGAGGCGCGGAGAGGAAGGGGGTATGGAGACGGAGGAGGCACTGGGCTGACCTGTCCGTGAGCCGAGGGCTGCCCGAAGCACGTACCCCGCAGCCACCAGACGCCGGAGAGGCTGGTGGTGCCTCCCTCACTCTGGGAGAACCAACCCTGCGGACGCTGATTCCTGGGTCCGGCCTGCGGGTCTGGTGAGCTCCTTTCTGTTCTAAGCCACCAGTTGGCGGTGATGGACAGCCGCTGCTCCCCTCCCCGCGCCTCCCCTCCCCCTTCCCCATGAAGGCGCTCTTAGGGTCCCCCAGCTTAGACCCAGGGACAGGGAGGCGGGGAAAGGTCTTGCTCCGTCACCAGGTCCCCGCGCTGCCCTCACAGGCCCAGCGGGCAGGATCTCGGGGTGAGGGGAAGATGGGGTGGCCTGGGAGTGGGGGGACTGGCTGGGAGGTGGGACAGGTGCTGCCACCGGGGGCGGATGATCAGAGGCGCCGGAGCCCCTGGGACATGCTGGTGGGGACCTCAAAGGAGCAGCAAAATGGGGCAGCAGACCCAGCTCAGCGCCCAGTGCTCAGCTGCGCAAAAGCAGGGCCGCCTGTGGCCAAAGCCGGCAAAACCCAGGCCCACGGAGGGCGCGAGCCGGCGGGAGCCTTTCCCATCCATCCCCCAAATTGCCCTTATGCGACTTCACTTATTTATTTCTGCGAGGAGGTCACACAGAGGGACCCTCCCACTCCTCCTAAGCGACAAAGGCTGGGGAGGCAGGAACACCGAGGCCTGGTCCACTGCTCCCTGGAGCTTGGGGGGTCCTGCTGCCCAAACCCGTTTTCCTGGAGGCTTTGCTCTGCAGGAGCCCAGCCCGCAGCCGCTGGCTGGTCAGGGAGAGGACAAAAGGATGAGCCTTGCGCCCCCTGCTGGATCGCTGAGGCACAGCCCTGCAGCCCGACCCTGTGCAGGAGGGGTGGGTGGGAGAGGCATTGCAGGGGGAGAGGCAAGGGGAGCAGAGATGCCCTTGGGTCCCTAGTGAGACGCTGTGTTTGCAGCGCGCCTGTCACTCATTATTATTCCCTCACTTGCCAGGGGAGCTCCTGGGCCAGCTGAGGCTTCAGCCATCTCCTGGAGTGTGTGTGGGGGTGCGATTCTTTGGGGTCCGAGGCCCCAGCTGAGCGATGGGGTCTTCAAGGCCATGCCGATTCCGTTCAGAGGGCCAAGGGCGGATGCGTTCATTTCTCCATCATTCATCCCGCTGTATTGATAACTACATATGGAGCCCCCACCGTGGGCCCCACACCGTTCTGGGCTCAGAGATCAAAAGGTGGACAAGATGTGTGAGACCTCTGCTCTTGAGTGACAGCTGTCATTATTATCCCACACGCGGTGTTTACGTACAAGTGGCAAGACGTGGGGGAGACCTGAGAAGTAGCTCTGAGCCCTGGAAGGCCCGCCTCTCCCTGAAAGGGAAGTTCGAGCTGAGAGAGGAGAGGTGAGGGCATTAGGTGAAGAGTGGAAGAAGGAGGTGCTATTCCCAGGCAGAGGGAATAGCATGTGCAAAGGCCCTGGGGCAGGAGGGAAGATAGCACTTTCAAGGGAAAGAAAAGCAG